CGGTGTGAATTATTTGTGTCTTAATATAAGAAGTTAAACGTTAGAAGCACTCAGACTAGCGACTGAACCACAGTGAAGCTAAGTGTGCGGTGTGAATTATTTGTGTCTTAATATAAGAAGTTAAACGTTAGAAGCACTCAGACTAGCGACTGAACCACAGTGAAGCTAAGTGTGCGGTGTGAATTATTTGTGTCTTAATATAAGAAGTTATAGTAATTAGACGTCTCAGCAATCTAGCACCACAGACCTAACCTTTTTGTGTTTGTATTTACAAGTGAATCGAAATTTTATGCAGAGAAACATAATTAAAGAAAACAATATAAAATGTAATATCCGATCAGTTATTATTATTTTTTAACAAAACATAAAATTATAAGTGTTATATACTTAGTTTTGAAAACGTTAATTTGTGATTTAATTTATTTTACAGAAAATAATATCCTATTTATACTCGCCTCGCAAGTCCTGAAACGACATCTTTGTTCTTCAGTCTCTGACGACTCCCACTGACGTGGCTTCTTTAGGTACAGGTTCGACACCCCTGTTTATTATACTTCTCTATAATGAACTAAAACCTATAATGAAACGTTTCACAGTATATTCTTGCTAATATGTAAGTTTGTGTTTAATAACTGACTTTAATTACACAACTTATATCCCTACATCATGTGCTTACATTGTTACAATCTGAGTATTTTACAAAATAAAAAAAATTAACGAGAAAACCTTCTTGTTCTTCTGTTGTCCTTTCAAAAAATATTGAACAAAAAATATATAAAAATACTGTATATGCATGACGTTAATATTTTATGCCAACATAAGATTGTTGTTTTTGAATTTTATTATAAAAGTGTCAGATCAATTGTGTTTTACATTTGAGATTGAAAAAGTCCAACTATTCTTTTATTGTAAGAGCTGTAATTTGGTTTTATTTCTTAAAGGAATAATTTTAATTATTTAGAAAGAAAAACAACTGTTATAAAGTAGGTCTTACGTCTGTAGAATAGGTGAAATTGGAATGACAGGTGCAACGCCTACTTGTCGTAACCAACCACCAACACCCAACTTGAGAATGGTGGCTGACAGATGATGGAGCATATGACATGTGCAGCCATATTGTATGATATCATAGTCTCTGACATTCATATTTCATAAGTTTGCCCAGGTGATGATTATATGACCTTAATGCTAATGTTTTATAACCACCACTCAGACAATATTCAATAATTGATCATATATATATATATATATATATATATTAATATTTCGTTCATACCCTCTGCGTCTATAGCATGTCCAGACATGCCTCACTCCCATACTTCAGTTAACAACATGGCAATCAAGTCATGAAAAGGTCCTACTTGGCTTATTGGAATTCATTACACAATGAATCTTTAAAAATCCAATCATGACTGCCATACCGCAACGTCAAAGAATTTATAAGTTATTAATGTATAAACGTTACAAACACACATTTAATCTAGTATTTTTTAAGAGTTACACATAAATACTTGTGTTCTCCTTTAATTTGTTACTTAGTGAGTGCATCATCATCAATCGAGCTTTCACATCCTAAAATGATAAAAAAAAAGTTTCCTCTTTTTTCAAAGCTGATTTAACAGATTCCAGACCATAAATTAATTTTCGTTGGGTTGAACAACCGATTTGTGAATGAGGACTGTTTCAGTTACCAGTACAATGATAATAGTTTAAAATATTCTTCTCTAAGCTGTTTCTCTACTGCAACGCCAAAAATTTGCTCAGAAGAAATTGTTAGCTTCGCTCAGTTAATTTCCCTTAGATACCAGTTCGTGAGTTTTTAACTTATTTTCTGATGTCATCAGCTAAGACTTGTAAATAAATTTCAAACAAGCTGCTGTATTCTGTAAGACTTCTTTTTTTCCAGTATTTAATTTTTCATTACATTTATTTTGAGAGTCTTCATCACAGCTACTGATTTCTTTGAAACTATTTACACACAGAGCATCATCAGTGGAGTCTCTTTTCTTGGATTCATTTTCACTAAGAGCATCGAATTAAAAATATTTGGTTCATCGATCTTGCTAAAGATATCTATTTTAATGGAATTATTTACACTTTGAGTGTCATCAATAGATGTTTCTTACCTTTGTTATATAATATTTTCTTTCCTTTCACAATTACCTTTTCGCATAATGTACTTCATACTTATTCCACAATGTGGAATAATCATAAGGTGTGTAGTTTCACTTACTACATCCCTTTTCGCATAATGTAGTTCATACGTAATCCACAATGTGGAATAATTATAAGGTGTGTAGTTTCACTTACCACATCCCTGAGCTTCTAATGGTCGTTGTTTCTTACTCATAAAGAACTTTAAAGGTTGATAATTTATTCAAGATAAATTTGTAAGTAGTGTGGATACCTAAAAAACGTGAGAATCAATTAAAGCTAATAAATATCTTGCTTTTCCTTGAATTATCTTATGCCACTATGACAACAATAACTGCCCGCCACCTGACCACACCTGTGACCTTTTCGTCTACGTAATAACTGTTGGTCTACACTCTGAATAATTGAAACGGGATTATTATCAGAATCATGTTGGCTAATGTCACTCTTCTTTTCAACGTAGGTAATTAAAATTGCCCCAGTATCTATAGGCCTGTTAATCTAAATCGAGCGATAGAAAAGTTCTTGAAATTCTGATAAAAGATGCTTTGAAAAAGTCATTTAACGAAGTTTAAAATTTTGTTCGATAGTCAACATGGTTTCACTAGGGGAATGTCTTCCCTTACTAATCTTTTGACATTCATTGAAGAGGTTACTTGTTTACGTAGATGCGGGAAGAGTTTGTATTTGTAGTATCTGGCTGTTTTGAAAGCACTTGATAAGGTGCCACAAAACATTATAAAAGGAAAAAATAGTGTTGATGTATCATCTGTTTTCGATAATATAATGATAAGACTAAGGTACATAGTTAAATTTTGGCACAATATTTGTCATCTTCAGCTAAGACAGTTTTAATTTTCTAACAGGGTGTTGGCCTTTGGAATGTGCTGCCTCCAGATGTGAGAGATGCAGTTAATTTAAGGGAGTTAAGGGAAGCCTAAATAACTATTTGAATGATAAGGGCTACCTTTGATCATTTTACTTTTATTTCATACTTTAATATAGCTGATGAGACAGCCTACATGGACTAGCAGGTCCTTTGTTGTCCTTAAAATTGTATGTATATAACCAAGGATAATAGCCACGTCTCTGGTTTATTAGCAGGCGATAGCAATGCGAATGTGCTTGCAGATAGTTCCTTATCTGAAGATGAGAATCATCTTTCAATCTAATCTTCTGGTACCTGCTCTCTATTCAAAGACTTAGAAAAATACCACCAAATGATTCACACATCCAATTCTTAACCTCCTTCAAAACCCTAAGATACATATCATCTGATCTAGGTACCTTATCATATTTTTTATTTCCAGTTTTTCTTAATAAGCTTATAATTAATATGATCATCCTATTCAATCTTGTGTCCGTCTAATATCTGTTTAGGTTGAGGAATATTACTTAAATATTCATTTGTAAAAATCGATAAAACTAGAACATGGTAATACAGCTATCTCATAATCATCATATATATAACCATTACTGTATCACCCTTCAAAAACCTTATTCCCTTTCTACCATTGTTTGCTAACCATTAACATATCTAAATAAATCCTTAGTATTAAATTTTACATTTTACAGCTAACCTTTTTATATACAGTTTTTATTTCCTAATTTCCCGTTTCAGCAACTTTTTTATAATATCCAGTCATTGTTGCCACTTGATCTATAATTAATTTTCTTTACTTTTATCCATTATACCTTTTATAAACCAATTTGTTTTTTTTACTTGCAGCCACTGTTTCTTTTCTATAAGGAACATGCCTAGGTTGAACATTTAAAAATTTACTTCTAAAATCTTTCCACATTTGATCAGTGTCTCCAGTTAATTCCGTTGCCCAATTCACAGAAGATAATTCTTGTCTCATTCCGCCAAATTCTGTATTAGAAGTTAACAATATATCTAAAATAAGATTCTTCCATCTTGAATAGTTTTTAAAAACCTGTCTCTTTCATGATTTGACTCTTATATTTCCCAGTATATATGCCTGATATAAATTTTTTTTTCAAATTTTAACCTCACTAACAGATGAATTCTTTATCTCACTGTAGAGTTTATCATTAATCGCATCAGTTTTATCTGGTGGTCTGTAATAAATTCCAACGAAAAAACCCCTCCTCTTATAACCACTACTTTCCTTCAAGGTACTGTTTCTTGCTGTCTCTCCCGTGGCCGTATTTAGAGTGAGAGCCTTAAAGAGGGGACTTGCACCACAAACTTGCAACTAAAAAGTACCTTCACAACGCCACATTCTCCGTATGCCTATAAGGACCCTGGATTTGGCACTAGGCTCGCCTTTTTACTGAAGGAATCCTAGTTGGTTTCTTTTCTTACACTTATTCATATGCTGAATTCAGTCTTTTACTAATGTGTATCTTGTAATTTCCTGCCATATATTGTACAGTTCATTCTTCCCCTACATGATCCAATGACATCCTAAATGAGGCTATCTATAGTAGAACGTACATACACTTAAACGTACATAGTAACAGTCCATTAAAAACGTCATCATAATAATATTAATCAGTTCCTCTCTACATTGTGTCCTAATGAAATCCCAGCTGTTATCATGTTCCCTATGATGAGGAACAAAGCATAGAAACACATTTTAAAAGCCATTTTGCACATTCGTATGATTTGTAGATGAGCATGGAGTTACTTATACAGCTAGTGTGCATTTATGAGTCGAAGGACTGTACAAAGGGTAAGTTTTCACCGGAAACTTCTAGTTTCATTATTTGTTGTTAAATTCGTGTACGTTACATTAACGTGTTTATTTTTGTTAATAAAGCTGTTCTTCCTTTTGTGAATAAGTGCACTTTTCAATGTTTCTTTTGAGTACATTTGAAATGAAATATAAATCATTGAAGATGATTGCATATGCTTTATTACAGATTTTACAGCTGGCTGGTGAGCAGTAAGAATGAAGAACAAATATTTACGTTATCAAGATGTTGAACTTCGTGAAATCTTTACTGAAACTTCAATGAACGAAGACAGTTTGGACATTTTGTCAACATATCAAGTCAACACTTCTGAAAAAAACAGTCAGAGATTGTGTAAAGTTCCATTTCTAGGTGTTATTTGTGCTCTCTGATGTCTGGAATATTTGCTGCAACTGTATCATTTATTGTTGCCTTTGTAACCAGTGTGAATCCCATCGAGATTTTCGTTATCCGAAGTTATTATCATACGTACCAGTCGTTATCTATACCAGAAATTCATTTTTAGGAGTTGAAGGAGAGAGATGGATTCTTTGTCTACGAGCAGTGTTTGGAGCAATTACCATAGGAACAGGTTACTACCCCCTCCAACTGATTCCGTTGGCGGATGCTTCAACTATAATATTTAGCAGCCCAGCGTTAGTGGTTATTTTTGCCTGTATTTTGCTGAAAGAACCATGTGGTCTATTTCAAGTATTCATAGTTATTATGTCATTAACAGGTGTAATTCTTATATCTAGACCATCTTTCTTATTTGGAGTTACTTTAACAGACAAGGTTAGCTCAGCACATCGCCTCCAGGGTTCTATTATGGCGTTATGCTCGTGTATATCGGCAGCCTTGGTCTTGGTATCCATGCGAAAAATACAGAAAACCCCAGCACCCGTAATTATATGCGCAGTTTCCATTCCATCCATTACCTTTGGTTTGGTGTATCTCTTTATTGTGAGTAAGTTTAGTATTCCTACTTGTGGAAAGGATGGAGTTCTTATAATTTTTTGTGGACTCTTTGGAACATGTGCACAGTTTTTCTTCACAACTGCGCTGAAATTAGAAGATGCTGGAACCGTGTCTGTAGCGAGGACAATCGATATAGTTCTGGCTTTTGTTTTTGGAGTATCATTTCTTGGCCAATATCCATCATGGACTAGCACCAGAACTGAATCACTATTTAAATACACAACCTATAACAGGATCCAAAGCCAGGTATTTATGAGTAAAGACTATCTTACGACCTATTCTATTTGATATACAACTAAGGGAAGTACAACGTTAAAATAATTGAACAATAGAAAAATTATTAGAAACAGGGACTAATCCTAAAACAACTCTACATGTTTCGGTGTTCTAACGCCATCATGTTCAGAAATAAATGTTGAAGTTTGATCAAGACTCATATAACTATCACATAATTAGCATATATTTGGCGCTTTCTAGACTTAACCACTCAGAGTTTACAAGTTATGTGTCTAGTACTTCGTTTCTTCTACATCATATTTATAATATTTTGTAAACTAAATACGTTTTAATTAAGAAACTATAACACACAGAGAACTGTTGTAAAGAGAAAAATCAAGCTAAAAATGGATTCAAGTCTTAATGTTCAAGATGTTAAGGATCTAAAAGTATTTATAGAACTGGTAAAATTGCTTGATGTTATTTTTCAAAATTCACGCTATTCAGTCGAAAACATTTGCAACAAAATCAAACTTTATAACAAAGTAAATGTGCAAACCTAGATCGTATTTACTTTATAACAAAGTAAATGTGCAAACCTAGATCGTATTTACTTTATAACAAAGTAAATGTGCAAACTTAGATCGTATTTACTTTATAACAAAGTAAATGTGCAAACCTAGATCGTATTTACTTTATAACAAAGTAAATGTGCAAACCTAGATCGTATTTATATCAGATTTTCAACAATATAGCCAGAAAATAATTGAAACTAAAAACTGAGGTGGAATAAAAAATCAAAATAAAAATTAAACTTTACAAGATGTATGCATTTTAAAAATAGGTATTCATTAAATACATAAACGTAACGAGGCATGTTAATATTAGTTGAAACCTCCGAGTTGAAACAATGAGGTGATATTTACCCAATAGACTCTTAAAAATACATATTTTTTTTCCCGGAGAAATATCGACACGTAAAGGTGACAAACATAAGAAAAATTCCTCTCCAGTATCATCGATTACGAAATATGAGGCTTTTTTCGGTGTAAGGACTGTCGAAAAACGTGTGCAGATCGAATCAAACTGACCCGTGAAAAGAAACGAAATCTGATGCGTATTTCTGAACGCTGGAGAGGTTGAAGTCTAGCTGTAACCAAGCCGACATCTTCGTGGATTTGGTCCTGTTTATTATTAATTATTTAGTTTCCACTTTCATCATCGAATTAGAAATGATTTTTGTTCTTCACTTGTATATTAGATCTTGTTATTAATAATTATTGACCAAGAATTGACTCAGTATAAAGTAACAGGTTAGTATTGTAGTGAATAACGCACATTACTCCTTATCTACAAAACATTTCTATTGGGCTAAACGGAAAACATTGAAACTCTTTATATGAAAAACAAAAGCATTCTGGGATATCTATAAAACCAGAAACGTTGGTCTGTACAATATATGTAGCGACGTCAATGACGTTTTTTAGAAATATGTTCTATACAGATTTGAAGGATTACAAGATTTAAAATTTTCAACTAAATATTGGGAAATAAGAACTATACAAAAAACACAATGATCCCTAATATTTTGTTTAAATCTGTACTAAACAACTAAAACTACATAAGTCACCAGGCTACACTCTAATATACAGGAATCGTTGACTCAGTCAACAGGCTAATAATGTGTGTTACTACTTTATTTTTGATATTTACATGACAATTTACATCACCTTAACAACTGACTAATTAATTACATAATTCAGCTACGGCAGATTTCGAAAATAATATTCTATTTTTTTTCTATCATGTAAGAATTTTTTACAAATCGGGAAGAAAATAAACTCTTACGTATATCAAATTATTATTTCGTTTACCACAATGAACATTTTTTATTATTATGTTTGTTAACAAAAATACAAACAAACTGAAGAAAAGGGAAGAATATTGACGCCAAACGAATATGCATCCTTATTCATCCTGATTTTTTTTTTTAAGTCTACGTTTTGTAGTCTCAAAACTACGTGTTGTGGTCTTTCTTTTATGTATTACGTTATGACGTTTTGTGAAAATTCTGTACGTGATGGAGAAATATGGATATCATTTTCTGATTCAGCATACAGGAATTTCAAGACAGTAAAACCATTGCAGGTCTGTGTTATTGGTTTGTAAGTGAGGTTTTTTGACGAATGTATTTTACAGGCCCTGTTTATTTTACGAGTGTTATCTGAATAGCGAATTTACAATTGAAAGTACAAAATAAACAGTTGAACCAATCCTTTCATCAGGCTCTCTTTACTATACAAGCGCCATCTGAATAACGAGTTTAAAATTGACAGTAAAAAAAATAAACTCTTGAAATATTGTACAAGTCCTGTTTACGAGCGTTTAATATATCTGAGTAACTAGTATAGAAACTTTACCATAAAATAAACTGTAACAGAAACGTTAAACTACTAGTTAGGTGCATCATAGTAATTCAGTGGTTCAACACGTTATATTAAAACGGTTTTGTAGTTTAAACATGACAATTCCTATTGATACAGACTTTATCGTAACATTGCTTTGTTCAATGCTTACTACTCTTTCCTGCAGGCTTTCCATAAGCTATGTAATTTACAATAACAAGGCTTTTGAACAGGACAGAGAAAGTACATATCATTTCTATAATCGATTAATTTTTGTTGGTTTACATTACTTATGAAATTGTAAATGATATCGAAATGAACTTCTTATACATTCCGCCCAAACTGGTAGCTACACTTATAGCATTGATAAGAATTTTACACGGCCCGGCATGGGTTGGTTAGGGCGCTTGACTCGTAATCTGAGGGTCGCGGGTTCGAATCCTCGTTACACCAAACATGCTCGCCCTTTCAGCCGTGGGAACGTTATAATGTGACGGTCAATCCCACTATTCGTTGGTAAAAGAGTAGCCCAAGAGTTGACGGTGGGTGGTGATGACGACCTGCCTTCCCTCTAGTCTTACACTGCTAAATTAGGGACGACTAGCGCAGATATCCCTCGTGTAGCTTTGCGCGAAAGTCAAAACAAACAAACCAATAGTCGATAATATTTTACCGTCTTTTATTTATTCTAAACACTTTTTCTTACTATCATGAACATCCATATTCATTTAATGAGATTGTATTCAAATATCAAGGTTTTATATTTATATTATATTTTTTATGTTAATATATTTGGAACATGTATTGAGGAAGTTGGTTGAAAAGTGTAGGAACATAGTTTGAATAAAATGAATCATCTCAGCCAATATTTCGTCTAGTAAAACTTCAGTTACATTCCATATATGTAACAGATATTTTATTAAGATTAATGGCCTTGCAGTATAGCAACCCTATTTTTCATTAGATTAATTACACGTTTAATATGAATTAGTAATGATACGTTTTATCTTCAAGTTTCTACTTCCTTTCCCCAGAGTTGTTTTTCTTACCATTGGTAAAACTAAGGCACCGCAGTAGCACAGTTTTATGTCTGCGGACTTACAACGCTAGAATCAGGGTTTCGATACCCGTGGTGGTCAGAGCACAGATAACCCATTGTGTAGCTTTGTGCTTAACTTCAAACAGACAAACAAATTCTATAAATAAACAAAGAAATTCATACACAAATCCTTAAAACATTAACAATGCTGTCTGAAATGCCAGTCTTTAGGATCACAGATCCATTTCCCTTTGCAATGCGAAGTACTATCTACCCCCTCCCCTCAAATTACTTCTGTTTCTCTACATGGCTAATTTCACTAAAGAAAATATTATTACAAGCTGAAGTAACTCTTCAGTGACAACTTCTTTGGAAGAGTTCAGAAACACCAAAGAGGTTTATTAACCCTTGACAATATGTGATTATTGAAGAATAGGTTAGATCTATTTCACAGTTTGTGATGTATATATTTATTGTACTAGAAATCTGGCAAGCACTTCCATCACTAAACAATCTTGAATCTTTTAATTGATAAAACTTCTTTCTAAACTAAAAGAAAACGAAACACCTGGAATTTCCACACATCTTTTAAAACTTAAAGCTTCCAATATATTTTAATAAAATCTGTGTTTTAAAGGAAATTAATTAAATTCTTCACAGTTCTAATATTTATGTGATTATTTTTAAGTTTTGTCTTGTTCCTATGTGCTCCGTAATTAAACCAGTTAGCATTTAGTGAATCAAAATTATGCCAAGCTTTTTTGGTCCAGTACGGAGCTTTAATATAATTTTGTGCGAGTGGAAAAATATTGAGTTAGTTTGCAGCTGTGAAGTTGAAAGGCTAGTATCTAATTTTTAGCTATTTTCTTTTAATGCTAAGCAAAGATAATAATATAATGTATGTGACATTCAAAAGTATTATGGCACATTTAAATTAGTAAAGGCATCATATCAATAGTGTTTACTTTTGATGTAAACCACGAGGTGATATTAAAATATATCACATGAACAAGGTTAAATAAATTCCTACACTTTATGAATAAAATCAATATTATTATATTTCGTAGTCCTAATCGATACAGGTAAATAATCGATATCTCAATGATTCAAATGTTAATAGTTACCCAAGTAAGAGATCTAAGGTACAGTAAGGCTGTGTGACTTCATACTTCATACTTCATGATTTCATACATATTTTGTTTCTTGATTTCCCGATAGGAAGTAATTATTACTTACATTATTAAAAACAGTATTGGGTAAAATAGAGCTATTCGAAATCTGATGATTAAAACACGATGTCAGAATGGGCAGAGGAAAGATTACATGTTAATTGTTAGCCATGTCATGGGTAGCTGGCATGTAGGGCAGGACTTCTTTGTTCGCTTAAAATTATTATAGCTGTGAAAGATTCTTCGAAGTCTCAATTTTGTCTCCGTTGAGGGTCCTTCTTTCAATACAAAATAATATTCATAGTGAGATTTGTAAATTATTAATTAAGTTACTAAAATGTAATGACGTTTCACTTTGTATATTAGCCAATAAATGGTTAATATCTTCATCTCTGTATGAATTCCTTCTTGACTAGA